TTTAATGCATGGATTCTCCTCAAAGGGATCCATGGTAGCCAGAAGAAAATCCAGCTCAACTTCTGTTCTTCTCACTGAATCCATAGGTAGTTATCACTTCCAAGCTAACACGAGCCTTTCCTTCCCTCGCTGGAGGAGTTTATCTCTGTCCAGAGCAAAGTCCACACAGGAGTGTGAGAGTGGAGGTATTAGATGGAGGAAGGAAGGGGAGCTTAACAGGAAGGATGGCTGAAGGAAAAAGAGGAGAAGCTCCAGTAACTTCGTCCTGATGGGCTGACTCCTGAGTTACGTCATCTGGGCGTTTGAGGAATTCTGGGGTCTTTGAATGCTTCCTGGATTTCTACATGAGGAGATATCTCCTATGTGGTCACCATTTTGGCTGCTGATGTTTTGTTTTTCTGGTCAACACAATTGTATCATTGGTTGACATGTATGTTGAATAGGTTTGCTGATGGAGGTGGACAATAAGACAAGTCTTGATGATGAATGATGCCATTACTTGGACCCCATCCCACACTATGTTTTTACACAATGAGGCTCCTGGGGAGCATATGAGTTTCTGTGTGGTGAGCTGCTAATAGAAAGGTGAGCAGTTTGGATTCACCAGTCACGTCTTGGGAGAATGGGCAGTCTCCTCTCATAGAGATGTACAGACTTGGAGACCCCCTGGAGGGTCACTGAACAAAAATCAACTTGACAGCATCATCTAACGTATCCTGGAAGATGTAGGTGAAATGGACTGCTAACCAGAAAGTTAGCTGCAGAAATGACCAGCCACTTCATGGGACAAAGATGAGGCAGTTCCCCAACCCCCCAAAGATGTACAGCCTCAGAAACCCAACGGAGGGTCGCCCGGAGGAGTGATGGACTGGACAGCAGTGGAGTTGGGGTGTACACAGCACCTGAGAGGCAGGCAAAGTGGGACACAGAAGTCATGACTCTGCTTTGTAAACACAGAGAGGACTTCCTCCAGAGAGGCCATCTTGGGCCGTGACCTTCTGTAACCTGATTTCAGGTAGGGACATCTGCAAACATCTCCCTTGTCCCCAGGCTGACAGCCAGACTTGGACTCTCCCCACATGGATTTATTGGATTTGAGACCTTTCAGAGCAATAAAAGGTTCACGTCCTTGATGACAACCCCGGCTTGGACTCTGTGTGCTGCTCGCTGAGTCTAACCAATGCTAATAAACCATCGGGAAGGTGAGTCCCCAGGTTTGCTTGAAAGCTGGTGACTGAAACTGTAAGAGTCTGCGGGCAAACTGGAGGGAGTTGGGAAGGAAATGAGATAGTGTCTGAAGGAGGAACAGGTTCCTTCCTCACCCTGCAAATCCTGCTCCTGAAGAAACATTGTGGACCTTATTGTCTGTAAGCCTTCCCCTCTCAAAACTCAGTAGTAGGTTTTAGCTACATTTCCGGTTGGCTATTGAGTCAATTCTGGCCCGTGCTGACCCTACAGGGCAGAGTTGAACTTTCCCGTAGTTTTCCCAGGCCATGATCTTTACAGATGCAGACTGCCTCATTTTTGTCCCGCAGAACTCTTGGTGATTTCAAACTTCCAGACTTGTAGTTAGCAGTTGAGTGTTTTACCTACTGTGCCTCCAGGACTCCTTTAGCTACCAGTATTAATATTTTCTATAAAAAGACCCCATTTTCTGGTCATGTTATTTCAGGTGCTGACACTCATGAGTTGTTCCAGGCCCCTGGAGAGCTCAGAGAAGTTCCTGAACGCTATAACAGGATTTAGGGGTGCAGAGGGTTCCTAGCTTTCTGTGTGATTCTTCTTCAGTTTGGACCAATCTATTACCCTAAATCCCCCCATCCACAACTGTCGAGTGGATTCCCATTCATGGCAACCTTCTACTGGGAGCTCCTTGGGGACATGTAATTGTAATTAAAATAGTCGAAGTCTAAGAAACAACTAGAACATTTCTTCAACAGGGTAGGAGTGTGAAGGAACAGACATCTCTTGAGGGAGGATGACTGTCATGAGAAGGTCCTACACCCCAAAACCTAATTAATCTAAGCTTACTGCCTTCAAGTCAAGTTCCCACTCAATGGCTCTCCACCACATTACATCTCTAAATTGTCAGTTTTTTGTATTTGGGGAATACATTGTTCTAATGGGTACAGCACTTGTCTGTCAGGTTGCTGTACTAAAATAACTTATGGGTTGCTGCAATGCTGAAAGCTATGTCTCCGGTGTGTCAAATGCCACAAGGGTTACCCTTGGTGGACAGGTTTTTGTAGAGCAACCAGATTAAGACAGACTAGGAAGCAGATTTTGCCATCCACTTCTTAAATGAAAGGCCTCTGAAAACCCTATGAACATTGAGGAACACGGATAATTATAATATTAGAGGTAGAGTCCAGATTGGAAGTCAATCAAAAGAGAAAAATAGTGGCAAACATCTTTTAATAACTGGAACATGGAATGTAAGAAGTATTCATGTTGGAAAACTAGATTCCTTGGAGAAGGACACCATGCTTAGAAAGGCAGAGAGTTGGTGAATGAGAGGAACGCCCTCAATCATGATGTGTGTCAGGAAGTGTGAGGACAGCACAGGAAAGGACGGAGTTCTGATCTGTTGTTCATAGGGTCGCTATGGGTCGTACTTTATTTGATGGCACCTAACAACAACAACAACCACGTTTCCGAGGCTGGAAATCTTTATGGAAGCAGATTGCCGCACTTTCCTCCTGAGGAAGGGCTAGTGGATTCAAACCACCAGCCTTCTTGTTAGTCCAACACTCAAGGCACTATGCCACCAGGGCTCCTTCTGCACAAGAAAGGAGGCAGATAAACCACATTAAAGCCCAAGCTGCATTAAAGCCCTGAGACCTGCCTCAAAGCAGAGGCCAGCATCTTTGTCCCTAGACTTCCTGTGGGCAGGATACCAACATGTCCAAAAGTGCCAGAAACAAAAGTAAGAGGGCCGGCAAGAGTATCAAGTCGAAAGCATTTTCTCTAGCAAGCTGTTAGCTCTCTGGTGAGGACGGCTGGCTGGGGCTTAGTGATGAGTTGACACATACACACACTCACTGTGCCCTGAGCCTGGTTCACCCTGTTGACAGGGTTGCCTTGAGGCCTGGGTTGAGCAGGATCATGAGTGGGATCTGCAGACTCAGCAGGAGGAGCTGTGTCATGACTCACAGTCCCCAGGCTCAGAAAGAGCAAGGATGGCCCGAGGGACCCGTCTCTCATCCCCAAGTTGGTCTTTTCAAGGACTTTGGTAGAAGAGAGCTTTGAAGTCAGCAGGTGAGATTCTGACAGTTCTAAACACAAACCTAAGGCCCAGCTGTGTCCACTTGAACTCAGAACTGAATCAAGATGACCCAGGTGCTAGGAGAACTGTCCCAGCCCCGGATCTCCCTGTTCAGGCAGCACATCCTTGGAGATGAAACATCCAAAAATATGAATGGATAAATCTGCTGCCAAAGAGATCTCGAAAATGTTTAAGAGCAAGGGTGTCACTCTAAAGACAAAGCTCAGGTCATGGTATTTTCATTTGCTTTATATGAATGTGAAAGCTGGGAAGATGAATAAGAAAGAAGAATTGATGCCTTTGAATTGTGGTGTTGGTGAAGAATATTGCATCGTGTTATTTGATAGCCAAAAGATGCTTCAAACCTACCAGTTGCTCCGTGGAAAACGAGACTCTCCTCCCGATAAAATGTTCTTCCTAGGAAATGTAACAGAAGGTCAGAATGGACTTGTGGGCAGCAAGTTTGATTTCTGACATTAGTCATACTATGACACAATGTCACAGTGAGCAGCTTGCTGATGTTTGCGTTCCTCAGAAGTTCCAAGGTGTTTTCAGGGCTGGTGATAATCAAAGGCAATAATCCCGTTTTCACGGAGTTGGAGCTGACACCTAGCCAGCCCTCCGTTGGGTTTCTGAGACTGAGACTCACCTGTGAATTGCCCATCTTGGTCCTGTGGAGCCACTGGTGGGTTCGAACTGCCAGAGAGGTGCTGCTTTTGTGTCAGTAGCACAATTCTACATGGACTGTGGCACTACAGCTCTCTAATAAAAGAATAAAAATGGGAATGTAAAAAAGAACTATCTGACGCATGTCAGAAGCAAATTATATTGGGATCACTGGAACAGAATTTTGACTCAAGCCAGGGACCATCTGTAGATTGCCAGGCCTTTCTTCTGAGAGGCCTCTGGGTGAGCTGAAATGCCAACTCTTCTGTTAGCAGATGAGCATATTAACAATTTATTCTCACTGCTATCCTGTTGGTTCCAACTTATAACAGCCCTACTGGACAGAGCTTACTCACAGGATTGCCAAGGCTGCAATCATTACAGAAGTGGACTGCCTCATCTTTATCCCCATGAAGCAGCTGGTTGATTTGAACCACTGACCTTTTGCTTAGCAGTTCAGTGCCTCATTCACTCCAAAGCCAGGAGCCCTTTGTATGACTTGTTGTTGTTGTTGTTGTTAAGTGCTGTTGAGTCGCAGGCGACTCATATCGACCCTATGAAGGAAAGTCCTCAACACTTGTGTGTCTTTCATCCTCTCTCCAGGTTCATAAGGTTTCCTGAGGCAAGCTAATACAGAAGTGGATGCCACTCCTCCTTCCAAGCTTGTTTTAATCGGGGAACTCCAGCCTACACTGTCCACATTGGGTAACCAGCCATTAACGCATTTGACACATCAGTGTCACAGTGTGTGACTTAGGGACATCTAAATAGAACTCTATAAAGGAATGTTGAATGAAGGATTCACATAGAAACAGCCTCTATGTGGAATGGGTCTTTTGAGAGTAATTAAGCTGGTGTTTTTAACTTCAAGGGAACAAGATCCTGATTATGAGGTGGGCACTGTGTGTGGCAGCTTCCCCTATCTGCTGTTAAGTGATTGCCAGTAGTGTTCTGTAGATCTCCTATTTACTGTAACTAATCAGCCTTGGTAAAGAAAATCTCTCTGCATAGCTCAACTCAATCCCCTTTAGAGCCTACTGCATGCAATTATTCCTGTGTTAAATTTCTGTTAGATGCTGCCAAAGAGGCCCTGACGCGTGTACAGCACACACACCCTGCCTGGTTCGGTGCCGTCCTCACAACCTCTGTTGTGCTTAAGCTGGACGTTGCAGCCACCGTGCTGACCCGTCTGGTTGACGATGCAGCCATGCTGACCTGTCTGGTTGACACTGCAGCCACCGTGCTGACCTGTCTGGCTGACGTTGCAGCCACCGTGCTGACCCGTCTGGCTGACGTTGCAGCCACTGTGCTGACCTGTCTGGCTGACGTTGCAGCCACCGTGCTGACCCGTCTGGCTGACGTTGCAGCCACTGTGCTGACCTGTCTGGCTGACGTTGCAGCCACCGTGCTGACCCGTCTTTTTTCAGTGATCCTCCTGACAACATGCCCAAAGTACGTGAGAAGTTTCGCCCTCCTTACTTCCTATGATCCTCTGGCTGTGCTTCTTCCAAGATGGACTTTGCGTTCTTTTAGAAGTTGATGGTATACATAAGTAGGACGTGCTAATGTCATTCAAAATCTGAAAGAAGGAAAGTGAAAGGAAGACAAAAACAAGAGAAAGAAGACAAAGCCACTGTCTTTAGAGATCAGCAATGGAAACTTGCTTGAGAAGACTACGGTCCCAGGGAAAGTTATTTTCCTGCTAAAGGTTTGTCCTCAAGTCTTTCGGAGAAAGGAGTTCTAAGCAGCCATAAATCACACCCATCTTAAGGCCCATGGTGAGGGAGGGCAGAGGCCATCCAGTCTCTGCAGTAGAAACTTTATGGTCCTTTGTTTGGTTGACATGTGACATCACTGACAGAGAAGTGAAGGCTCCATTTGGTACCATGACATCTTAACAAACACCTGCCTCAGGTTTTACTAAAATTTGTTAAGTATCACAGATTTCTGGGACATTCTCAGCCAGTCATTTGGTCCTATGATGGCAGAAGGTGATACACTGATAACGTAACAAAATCAGGCAATACCTTCAAAAATGTTCAGAAAGACAAGTGCCCAAGGGCAAAAAAGCCTCTAATAATGGTGATAATAGTATATATGCCATTCGTATTATAATAAAATAAAAACTCAACACAACAAACCCATTGCCTTATAACCACCCTGCAGAACTGCCTCACAGGGTTTCTACCTCTGTCATCTTCACAGAAGCAGAATGCCTTATATATTTTTTTTCTTTCTCCCTGCAGAGTGGCTACTGGGTTTGAACTACTGACTTTCCAGTTAGTAGCCAAGTGCTCAACTGCTGTGCCACCAGGGTTCACACTCCTGTTAGAACCTCTTAGGTCTCTAGGCAATATATGGATTGACTCTGCTAACTGAACAGGGAACTCTGGTGGACTTCTGGGTCAGGAGTTGTATTGCTAACCCAAAGGGAGGCAGTTCAAATCCATCAGCTGCTCTGAAGAAGAAAGATGGGCAATCTCCTCCTGTGCTATTTACAGTCTCTGAAAAGTCACTGGAGGGTCAGCTGGGAGTTGGTTCCAACCAGATAGCACATAAACACAACAATAACTAATTGAATGGCTGGCAATTAGACATCATGCTGGGGAATCATGGAAGAAAGTCCCGGCAACCCACAACTGAAAACCCTATGGAGCACAGCTCTTCTATGCTGATACACATGGAGTCATCATGGGGCAGAACTGTTGACCTGGCATCCAGTTTAGTTTTCGTTCAGTAAGGATTTCAAACCACCCTCTAAGTTTGAGGCACCAGAGAAGCAGAACTTTGTGAGAGTCTGACACTGACAGCCATGCATCACTTTCAATAATTTTCTCACCAGACACAGAAATAAGAGTACCAGGTAACAGTTTATTCACAAACTAAAAAAAGGTCTTACAAAACTATTTGTATACAGAAATGATAATTTACAGATTAAAAACAACAATTCAGAATACAAAATAGCAAGGATAAAATAGTAACAGATTTAAGCAGACTACCTTAAAGTAAGGCTGGACTTACTTCCTTTTTCTTCCTAAATCTTTTTAACTAGCACAGACAATAGTGCTGAACCGAGGGAGTGTCAACATGGACACTTTACCTAAAGTAGAAAAATCTATATTAAAAATATATATATATATTCCATATACACAAAGGTTAGAAAACACGTCTGGCTCTCTAGGTCCCGGTCTCCTTTGTTGCCATGCCCCCTCAGCACAACACCCTGTGACCCCAGGCTAAACCTGGTCCCCTCTGATGCAAGGCTGCACACCCACTTCGCATCTTGCTTGCTATAGGATATCCCAGGTACATGACGTGCAAACTGTCTTTTCTCAGTGGGGGTGTTTAAAAAGAGCCAAGAATATTATTGTTGGTTTCTACAATAAATGTTGGACAAGATGCCTTCTCTTGATAAAAGCAGCTCAAGCTATCTCAGTCCATTATCAGATGCAACTGGCTTTTACTCTATGTGCTTCTCTACTGATTGTTGTTGTGATGGTGTTGTTAAGTGCCATTGAATCATAGGCGACTCATAGTGACCCTAGGAACGAAAGACCTGGACACTTGTACAACTTCTGTCCTTTCTCCAGGTTCATAGGATCTCTGGAGGCAAGCTATTTTGGAAGTGGATGCCACTCCTGCTTCCAAGCTTGTTTTAATCGGGTAATCATTCTTGCACAAGGGCTAATTTTCTGGCAGATTTCTCATTCCTGTCATTCTCCCTGTTGCCAGCAAGTACTGTCTTTGAAATCACTCAGGGATTTCCATATGGAAAATAGGTTCGGGTGACACAAGAGGAGGCCATCCTCATGGACCTTTGATCATCCCAACATAAGGATCAGACTGCAAACAGTGACACACACAAATGAATTACAGTCAAATCCCTCAAGGAAACCCCATTCAGACAGCTGGGGGTCAGATCTCGGTCTTTCACACAGAATTCTCCTAAGAACTTAAAACAACTGGTTTACACTAAAAGCCTGCTCATAGTTGACCCTCCCATAGATTTCTGAGGCTGCAAATCACATAGGAGGAGATATTCAATCTCTCCTTTGGTGTGGTTGGTGGAGTCAAACAGTCAGAGCAGCTCAAACACATGGTGAGCAGTGTAACTCCAGAAAAAAGAAGAAAAGTTCACTCTGCTGGCCAAGTGTCTAATGCATCAGGCTCCTAACCCAGAGGCTGGCAGTTTGAATCCACCAGCCGCTCCTGGGAGAGAGCTGAACAGTCTCCTCCTGTACAGATTTGCAGCTTCAAAAGCCAAAGGAGGGTTTTCATGAGTCTGAAACACACTTGAAGGCAGTGGGTTTGCTTGTTTTTACTTTTTGTTCAAAGACTGTTCACTAGATAGATGTGAGAGGTTGTAGGGTTCCCACGAGACACTGTAATTCTTTTACTTCAGTAAAACAAACAGACTGTGAAGAACGAGCCACAGACCAGCTCATCTGTATGGAAAGACAGAGAGATGGAGACATGAAAGATGGTTCATAACGTTTGCCCCACATCTTGTAATGACAGCAAACAAGGAGTTAATGAGGGAGATGATAAAATGCCTTTGGAAAGACAGAGTCTTCAGGTTCAGTTTAAATGTTAGGTAACAGATCTGGGACTGATCGGGGAAGGGTCATTCTTAAACAAAATACCTGAGTGCCTTCTCACGACTGGTGTTTCAAGGTCTAGTTCTTTTGTGCTTTTCAAGTGCAAATGTGAGAGAGTGAATGATAATCAGCTAGGGGAGGAGGGCCAGACCTGATCATGTCCAGTCAAGTTGGGAAAAAACCTACTGCCCTTGTATGTTGTATTCATTCTTCTCCAGGGCATAAGGGATTAAGCACACAGGAGCCCTTCCCTGCTGGACCAGTTCTTTCTTTCTTTTCCTGAAGGCAGTTACCAAGCTGGGATGGGACTGAGAATCTTAGCCAGCATCTTTAGGCTAAGATAAGAGATTGTTACTATAGCTAAGTGTTTATAAAAACCTCAGTGGGTGGAGCCAGAACCTGTTCACCCTCCTGCAGGATTTCAGAGGCTATAAATCACAGGAGGAGAGTGTCTGTCTTCTTCCTGTGGAGAAGCTGGTGGATTCAAATTGCCTGCCTTTGGGTTGGTGATGTAACTCTCTACTGACTAGGCCACCCGTTAAGGGTGGAAGAAACTCTGTATCGTCCTGGTTCACCTAACAGCTTTTTCTTCTGGTTTCTAGTGTGTGGTGTCCCCTCACTGAAGACCAGTCACTTAGTCTTCAGCATTACCTTCAGCACTAGGGTGGAGCTGACTCTGATGATACTGCCAGGTCTTTCTTCTGAGGCACCAGAAGGGGAGTCTGAAATCTCAACCTTTCAGTTAGCTACCCAGATACAATACTAATAAAAGATTATCCCCTTTATAGACATCATTTTTCTACTAAAGAGAAGTTCTGGAGCCCTTAAGAATAACCACAGGTGTAGATGCTTCTCAATCAGCTCATTTTCACATTAAAAAGTTCATCTGTGTACACACATCTCTAAGTGGTTTTAACTCCGGACAGTGAACTGTCCATCACCCATCACCTTCCTGCATTCAGCTCCTTTGCCGCCACCAATAGCAGGTACTGAGACAGAGAAGCTGGGGTGAGCAGTGGTTTCTGGAACAAAGGTGTCCTCCTCTGAGTCCTGTGTTGGTCAATCGGTTTCATCTCACAAACCCAAGATTCAGACAGGCCTGCACCAAGCCATAGCCACCTGCGTGCATCAGGGAGGTGATAAGAAAATGACCTTTATCTAATGGAGGCATCTTTTTCAACCCAGTCTACACCAGCAACACAGCCATTCATATTATGTCAACTTTCAGCAGGCTGACTGGCTATCTGAAGTTACTTCTGCAAACGTACATACAAAGTTAGAGTCTGGGGCTTAGGTCCTGAAAAATGGGCAGACACAGTTCCGTTTCTTGTTAGATACTCTCAAGCTCTGAGGCTGGAAACTCAGTCTGCCAGGCTTTGAAGTCACTCATGTGGCATGGGTGCTGCTGTTTGGAAAAGGCAGAGGACCAGGAACCTGCCTGCAGTGAGCTCAGTCATGGGATTCCTGGGGGTTTCAGCTTTCAGCTGGCCTGGCTCAGATGTGAGTGATGGAGGGCTTCAGATGCTGTCAGTGTAGTTCACACTGTCCTTCCCAGACATGGGGCCAGGCTGGGCGCAGTCCCTGAGCCTCAGCAGTGACCGGCCCTCAGGGTCTCCCACACATGCTTCTATTGTAGACAAAAGTAAGTCTTTTAGGCTTCCTGAAATAGCAAAAGAGGGAAGGCTTTAAAAACAAGACTTATTCACAAAAACTGTGAAAGTGACATTATAAATACAGATTATTAAAACAACTTTTACTAGCTGTTAGTTGTTGTCAAGTACAACTCATAGTAACTCTGTGAATAACAGAGCTGAACCCTGTCCTGTCCTGTGGCATCCTCACTGTCTCTGATACACTTAAGCCCATTACTGTAGTCACTATGTCAACCCATCTGTTTGAGGGTCTTCCTCTCTTTCACTGACTCTCCATCTTTCCAAGCATCATGCCCCTCTCCAAGGAACAGCCCCTCCGAACAACTTGCCCAAAGTACGTGAGACAGAGCTTTGCCATCTTTGCCTCCAAGGAGCACTCTGACTGCACCACAATGATCTAGCAGATAAAATTTTGTTCATGAGAATATTGTTCCTAGCTCCTACAGTACCCTTCTAGTTGGAGAGCTTCATCTGCTGTGCTGGTGCAATGGCGTGATAACAACGTCCATATTCACCTTAATGTGAGAAGCAACTGCTCAATTTCTTGATGATTTTACAAGACTAGGAAACCAGAACCCAGTTCTTCTCACACCTTCTCTAAGGCTCTTTTCCAATTCTTTCACTTTGACCTTGAAAATGAGTTCTTTTGCTTTAAGCAAACAGACTGACCCATCTTAGCAAATGATGTTGCTTTTTGGAGCAGCGATTGCAGAGAGAGTCTGATAAAAACTGACAAAGGACGGCTCTCAGACCTGTGTGTTCCCCCGAGCCAACAGAGCCTGAGTGGCCTATCCAGCCACAAGAAAAGAGGTGGAGCCACACTGTTCTCAGAAACAACCATGCATTAGACTCCGCAGGAAGAATTGATGCAAAAGCACAGTGTGGCCACAGCCACCTCTATACCTTCCAACAGTTTACACCTTAACAATGTCCTTCATGAATTGTGAATGTCATAATTACATTTACTTGAATTCTAATTATGAAATACACAGCTCGGGAAGGGAAGACCTTTGATAAGTCCTATTTTACAATTTGGTTGTAACATATGCTCATCAAATTAATTTCAAATGTAATTATGACTTTTTTTCATATTGTAGTTGTTGAGTACTGTTCAGTCAGAACCAACCCACAGCTGAGCCTCCAGCGAGTTTTCAGAGGCAGTAAGTCACGCAGAAGGAGACTGCTCATCTCTCTCCCATGAAGCAGCTGGTGGATTCGAACCGCATGCCTATGGGATTGCAGCACACCTTCTTACTACTAGGCTACCAGAGCTCCCTCTTTTCATATTTGAAAGTACATTTGTCTAGCATATGATAATGATCATGACTATTGTTGCTGAAAAGGAATTAATAAGGTCATTACATACTTATCTTACATACTAAATGTGCTTCTAATCTTTTACACTAATACAAATCGACAAAAACCTCAGTGGGAATAGCGCCTGTTCACCTTTCATGGTGACCCTCCACAGGGTTTCTGAGGCTGTGGTCTTAAAGGGACCAGATTGTCTCATCTTTTTCCCAAGGAGTGGTTAGTGGATTTGAACCACCAATCTTTCACTTAGCAGCCAACATAACTGGCAATCTACCAGGCTCCTTGACTGTACTAACACTATTTGGAAGCGTTACTTGCACCAACAATGTAAAGAGAAAAGAAGGAATAAGCTGGCATAGAAATGACTTGGCATCGAGATGCTTTATTCTTTAGTCTGAATAAAACAAACATGGCAACAGGCCACACAATTAAGGTGAGGGATCAGGCTACTTCCTGGCAGTATGCTAAAAGGCTGTGGCTAGTGAGCGGATGGCCCAAGAATCCTGGCATCTCTGCCACAGTCATGCCTGCGTAGGAGATCGGACCTGAGGCGAACCCAAGCGAGCTCACCAGTGACATAGCACAATCAGTGCAACAAACACGTGACAGACCAGATTTTCAGAGTCCTTAGCCTTTTATTTTAAGGAGCCCTAGTGGTGCCGTGGTTAAGCAACTCATTACTAACTGGAAGGCTGGAGATTTGAACCCACCAGCTGTTTTGTGGGAGAAATACGGGGCAGGCTGCTTCTGGAAACCACAGAGAATCAACTGGCATTCTGGTGTGGGTGTTAGACGTTGTTATGTACCATCAGGTTGGAACCAACCCATAGCTGACCCTCCGGCAGATCTGCAGAAGCAATAAATCACATGCGAGGAGACTGCCTATCTTTCTCCTGCAGAGAAGCTGGTGGATTTGAACTTCATACCTTTGCAGTTGGCAGCTCAATTCCTTACAGACTTTTATTCTGAGGCATCTTCCTTGCTCTGGCTGCACACAGTGGGCAGAGGTCCTGCTGGCCCTGGAGACAGTGGTCCACCAGTGACACTGACTCATTGCCTCCTCTCATGAGAGTAAGTGGAGGGTGACTGCTTCCTTTGCTGTTCACCTTGAACCCTCATCAGGCAGTATGATGTTGTTGTTGATTGCCATCCAGACTGATAGAGACTCAATGAACAAAAGACCTAATGCCTTTCCATAACGGTCGTCATTTCTCCAAGTTCATAGAGCTTCCAGAGGGATGTGGTTTAGGAAGTGGATGCCACTCCTGTTTCCCTACCTGATTTACAGGTGGGAGCTCCACCAAACACTGTCCACAGAGGGAAGCCAATCTGGTATTTGATACTCCAATGGCACAAGGTTCAGCATCACAGCAAACCCAGGTTGCTTCATACAGCACATTGACAAAAAGTGATGTGCAAAGTGGAAAAGTGTTCCTCCATATATAACAGCACTAGTTTCACTTAACACTGCTTAAGTGTCGTCAAGTCAAATACAACTGAGAGTAAGTTTTGCACAATAGACCTAAACTCTGTTCTATGACTAACATAATTTCTGTACATAACTCTGTTCTATAACTACCATCATTTCTTTACATTTATAAAGTTTAGTGGGTTTGTAGAGTTTCTAGAGGTATCTAGTTTAGGAAGTGGATGCCACTCCTGCTTCCCAGCATAAATCAATGTAGAAGCTCATCCACTGTACATAACGAGTAATCATTATGGTATTTGACAAGATTGTGGAACGGTGAGCAGCATCACAACACCATCAAGATGTTGGTTAGGGATTGACTGACACTCCCTTAATGCATCACTCTTGATCAGGGGAGGCAGTAGGGGGCGCTGTGCCAGGTAGGCAGGCGCACACGGAAGAATGAGGGCAGGCAGCTGCCTTAGGACATTTCAGACGAGCTCTGTCTGCTTAAAGACATGTAAAAGGGTCCAAATTTCTTTTTAAGCCACACTTTGTTATATTGCTCGTGGTGCTGAGGTTTTCTGCTGCTAGTTGAAATTAGGCTTGCACCCAGCCATGGTCTCCTTGGAGGCAGTCCGCTTCTGTAAAGATCACATCCTTGGAAACCTACGGGCACTTCTACTCTGTCCTACAGGGTACCTGGGAGTTGGCATCAACTTCACAGCCATGATTTTTTTAATATTTTTTTTAGTGGGTTAGTGATGGCTCTGTGGTAAAATTCTCACCTTTCATGCAGTAGAGCCATGGTTGATTCCCAACCAAAGATACTACCCATCAGTCAGTGGAGATTTGGATGTTACTATGGTGTTTGAATAGTTTTCAGCAGAGTTTTCAGACTAAGGGTAGGAAGAAAGGCCTGGTGATCTACTTCTGAACAATCAGCCAATGAGAACCCTTTAGACCAGGTTTGATTTACAACTTATTCTGGGATGGGCTGCACTTCATCCCATTGTAAGTGGGGTCCCCATGAATTGGGCTGACTCAACAGCAACAACAACAACATTGGAAAAACCTTTTCATCAGCTTCCTCGTAAGTGGGAGTACAGTACTATTCTCTATAGTCTACCATCAAACAGCCAGTCCTGTCTTACCTGGAGGGAAGAGGTGGGGAGGTTCAGGGCGTCCCCCTGATCCTGGGCGTCCTGTGTAAGTGCTGGCTCCGTGGGCATGGGGTTCCGTCTAGAGACATTACCAGTTTCTGTAATGTTTTCAGAATGAGTTTGAGTCGGAGTAGCTCTGCCAACCGAATCCTGGCTGTTGTTTAAATCTGAAGATGCATCGTTCTCGCTTTCTGGGTTGAGTGCATTAAGATCGTCGCCAGTGAGTTCAGGGTAAGATTCACAGAAGGAGATGCTGTCACTACAGATGGGACTTTGCATCAGCGGCCAGGCATCCGAAAACTCGCTGCCGATGGAGCGGGACAGGGAGCCAAAGAACGCTGGTACCATCTCCCCCATGGAGCCCGTGGCCCTGCACACATTTAAAAGATGCCTTAAAATATTGCTTCAGAAAGCAGTTTAGCCACCAGCCCAAGTCCTTAGGAGTAAACAGGAATTTTTAAAGTCAGAATCCCAGTACTTTCTGTTACACACTTGCCTCCAGACAGCGCTAAGAAGTTATCCAATATACTGTAAAACTGATTTTTATGCTCACTTCTAATAATTATAGAAAGCAAAACCAAACTCACGACCGTTGAGTCGATTCTGACCCATGATGACTCCCCATTTAGTTTCCCCAGCTTTAGAGGAGGAGATGGCTCAGCGTTCTCTCTTGGAGTCACGGTGGAGTTGAACTGCCAACCTTTTGGTTAGTAGCCTGACACATTATGAATTATGTCACGAGAACTCTTAACAATGATTGGAATCTCTTTTATGGCCTTAGAATCAGAACCAACTCATAGCTGACTGTCCAGGGGGTTTTCAGAGGCTGTAAACTGCTTGGGAGGAAACTGCTTGCGCTCTCGCTCTCTCTCTCTCTCAGAACGGTAGGTGGATTCAAGCTGCCAGAGGGAGGCCAGCACTGTAACTCCCTGTAGATTAAGGCACCAGAGTTCCTGAGTAATTATACGGTTATAGACAATATAAAGCAAAGGAGCCCTGGTGGTGCAGTGGTTAAACATTCAGCTGCTATTAAAAAGTTGGCAGTTGGATCTCTCCTGGGAAGAAAGACGAGGGAGTCTGCTTCCATAATGGTGGAAGAGGCCTTGGAAACCCTTCAGGGCAGTTCTACAAGGTCCTCCAGAGCTGCGGTGAGTCAGAAGTAACTCGCTAGCAAAGTGTTTAATCCAAAACATTCCATGAAAACATTTTTTTTCTGCCTTTTGATTGACATTCTAAAATTGAGTGAGTGCAAGACCTATTAAAAATGACTTGCTCATGCCAGAGGTGAAACATCTTACAGCACAAATAACAGGGAGTGGAGGGTAAAGAATATGGCACCAGGTGGTAGTACCTTTGTGAGAACTAGTTTATTCTTGTCATGCCCCACTCCAAAATCCAAACTGTCACCAACCACAGTTTTTAATAAACACCCAGTGCAGTGAGGTACCCACAGTTAAACTAGCTGTATAGATAAGGAGCCCGGGTGGGACAGTGGTTTTGTGTTCATATGCTAACTGGTAGATCAGCAGTTCAAATTTACCAGTTGCTCTGAGGAATAAAGATGAGACAGGCTGCTTCCACAGAAATTACAGTTGCGGGCCTATGGGGCAGCCCGGCAGGGTCCCCATGAGCTGGAGTTGACTTGATGGCAATGATGTAACCAAAGAAACATTGTCATTGGATTGGTTCACACAGTGTCCTTTTATCTACTACTACCGAGTCAATTTTGACTAATAGAGACCATACAGGACAGAGTTTGCAAGGGCAGGAGAACATGTTTGCACGCGGAGAGGTAGTGACTGATAAGAGAAAGCTACCTGTCATGGAGCCCCGTCTTGGCATGCATGGCACAGCCAAGGGCCGCCCGGGCCACACTGCGGACCTCGTCCCGGCACAACGCTGGAACCAAGTGCACAGGCCCTGTGGAGGAGGAACACACGAGCTTCTTTAGAACTTTTCCTTTCCAACCAGCTCAACCCCCACTTCTTGAAGGGTTAGCTATTTCCCTTTGAGTGATTTTTCTGGAGGGAAAGGACTGTTGTTAGGTGCTGTCAAGCTTAGTATGACTCATCACATTTGATATTCAATTATTCTCATCTAAGAAAAACAACAAATGGTAGTAGTGCTGTTTGAGGGTATGTATGAAATTGGTTTCTCAGTCTTTTAACCTTGGAAACACCATCAACACCTTGGTGAACAGCTTTATAGATTTTTGATTGTCTTTATGTACCTGTGTAAAATTACATATATATTTATATATAATTCTGGTTTTATAAAACTCACACCAAAGCACAGAAATATAAAGAAAGAAAAGCTAAAGATTTGGAAAAATTAGATATTTACATTAAAAAAATGTTTGTGTATATTCAAATTTACTATGAAGACTATCTCCTACTTTTATAAACAGAGAAAAATATTTTAAGCTAGAAATTCCCTTTCTAAAAAAGTGTTGAATATGGAGGTGGAATCGCAGCCAGTTAACCAACAAGATAGGATGTTAAGAGCTCGGGTAGCCCAGGGGGTAAAATGCTGCATGGCCAGCCCAAAGGCAGGCCACTGGAATCTACCAGCTGTTCTGAGAGAAAAATGGGAAATTTCCTCCCATGTCATTTATGGCCTCTGAAAACCCCATGGAGGGTAAGTTATGAGTTGGTTCCAATTCCAAGGCAAGAACAAAAGGTTTAATAGTATAACCTTTTGACATCCAAATTTCATCCAAGTCTCTTACACTGAGGCCTTCATCCTACAGCATTAGCCTTGACTACATCATGACCATAGTGGCTGCTCCAAGGTCTGGTTTCAAATAACTCAGTAAGTGCCTGGCATGCCCACCAGGGAATGTTCTAGAATGACTGACAAGCAGACGACCTTGCCATCTTCTATTGAAAGGTCTGATGCTAGGGTACGGGTGATGAAAGTATATAAGGCAAGCATGGAGCTGCTTTTTGTTCCAGAAATTAAGAAAGTGCTAGCAGGCCACCAGGGAGATGGCCAGTTGGCCCTGGAGCATCTGAAGGGATTTCCACTAGCCAAACTGTCAGGAGAATTTGGGCATGAAGATCAGTTATGATAGAAAAGAACTGTAGCCCACTGAGTAGAGTCTGACAAGATGAATGAAAGAGGAAGGAGAAACCCTTCCTACCCATATGAAGTCCACCAATAAATGCAGAAGGAAGGAAAGAGTTAGAAAAAATAATCAACATTTGTAGGTGTGTCAGAGACAATAAGAGTGGCACAGGACAGAGCGGGATTTAGGGCTGTTGTACATAGGGTTGTGATGAGGCACAGGCCACTTGATGGCACATAATAATAACAACAATTGATCTAGGGTGGAGTCACAAACAGGTGCTACCCCAGTGGGTGGAAGTGTGAAAATGCCTGTGTGGTCTCACAGTCTATCCCTAAAAGGTTGATATTAGTTATTACATAGGGAGGCGCTCCGCTGACCAGTGGTTAAAACACTCGGTTGCTATTCGAAGGGTCAGAGGTTTGAAGCCCCAGAGGCTCTGCAGGAGAATGACATGGCCGTCAGCTCCTGTGACGATGACAGACATGATGGGGCATCCCACCCTCTCCTACCAGGTCGCTATGAGACAGAATCAATTCTATGGCAGTGATTGAAAGAACCATGAAGGGAAGAGCAATGCATGGAATAGGACCTGCTGGGAGAAGCCTCTGAACACCTGTTGGTGAGCCAGGGGCCCCTCTCTGATCCGGGCTTACCACAGGCCTGGGCAGCATCGCGGTGGCACTGACAGCAGGCCCGGTGTGCGGGCTCACTGAGCCCTGGCCGGTCAAAGCAGGACAGCTCAGACCCGTTGTACTGGACATCCTGAGATCTCAGTGACCCTGTGGGGGAAGGAGGCTTTATCAGAGTACAAAGGATGTGTCTCCTCAGAGAGCAGAGTTGTGGGCACCCCACACTGACCCCTATAGCTCTAGCATTTGCATTTTTTAAAAGGAAAAGATAGCCATCATTCAGATTTGCAATGATTTCTTCTCTCATCGGAGTACAAATATGGAAATAATTCTTAAGACAACTGAAAATTGGGGCATTTAGGTTTCTGGAAGAGCCCCTGGCTGCTGTAAAGGCTTTAAGGTGCTGAAAGTTTGGAGATTGGAGACCACCCGCACGCCCCTCAGAAGAAAGGCCTGGCTGTCTGCTTCTGCACAACCAGCCACTGGAAACTGTTTTCCTCTGACACATGTGGGGGTCACCGTGGGCCAGAGTTGACCCCACGTGAGCTGGGATGACGCCAGAGCTTCGTGACAGGACGTTTATCTCATGGCATGTGGCTAGCACTGTCCCCTCCTCTATAAAGTCCCACCATCTGCCACCCAGCACGAAGGTGCTCTCTTCCTTTAATGGACTCTGGTCATGCGGTCTCATTTTTCACTGAACTCTAGGGAGACATGTTGGTGAACCCTGACCCAGAAGGAAATGGAAGCGCACACACTCACAGCTGGGCTTCTTCTCCATGAACTGCCGCTTACAGTAGATGACACAGAGAACCAGCAGGGCCAGCAGCACAGCGGCCAGAGCGCTGCAGATGACAGCCGCCAGGGCTGTGTCCCGAGGGCTGGAGGCCGAGGCCGGGATCTTCACCAGGTTGACCTTGGTGGCACCTGAAAACCATAAGGAGGGAAGCTGCTGATAACACCAGCTGATTCGAACGCAAAGCTCCAAGCTCAGCGTACCAAAAGCAAAGGTCTGCGTGGGAAACAAGTCAAAGCTGACGGAAAGAGGAAGCTATTTAAGATGGTCCAACACTCCACTTAGCAGAGCTCTGGCTAAAGTGTGGTTGTTGTTGTTATGTGCTTTTGAGTTACCTGTGACTCATAGCAACCCTACGAAAAACAGCCCTAAACCCTACTCTATCCTGTGCCTATCTCATTGTCCCTGACACAACTACCCCCATTATGCCAGTTACAGAATCAATCCACCTCATAGAGGGTTTTCCTCTCCTGCGCTGTCCCTTCACCCTCCCAAGCATGATGTCTTTCTACAAGAACAGGTCCCTCCTTGCAACATGTCCAAATTATGTCAGACAAAGCTTCAGAACCCTTGCCTCCAAGGAGCAGCCTTGTTTAACCCTCTCTAAGATTAACCTCTTCATTTTCTTATCAGTCCATGGTATATTCAATATTCTTCTCCAATACCACAGCTCGAAGGCATCAATTCTTCTATCCTCCCTAGTCATTGTCCAGCTCTCTGATGCATAGCAAGTGATTGCAAAGACCATGGCCTGTATCAGGTGCACCTTAGTCTCCAGAGTGACACCATTGCTCCTCAGTGCTTTGGAGAAGTCCCTAACAGCACACTTTGCCATGACAATGCATCTTTTAATTTCCTGTCTGCTGCTGCCAAGATTGTTGACTGTGGAGTCAAGCAAACTAAAGCTGTTAATCTCTTCACCATCCATTCTGATAGTTAAAGCAATTGCTGCAAACCCTGAGGTTGGTGGTTCAAACCCACCAGTCACTCCTTGGGAGAACGCTGTGGTAGTTGGCTTCCTTGAAGATTACAGCCTTGTAACCTAATAGGGCAGTGTGTTCTTCCTTGTCTGTAAGGGTCCTGGTGAGTTTAGAATCAACCTGTAGTTTGTTATGTTTTGTTTTTAAAGGCAATATCTGCACCCTCAACATCATAGACAAAAAAATCAAAGGCATGCTGCTGAGTGGATTTTGACTCAGCACAAACCCATCTGTTTGGAGTAAGGATTTCTAGGAGGGGAGCGTTCCAGGAGCAGATCTTGGCTGGTGGACACAGGTTACTGCAATGCAGTAACTGACTTTTACGTCCACTCACCAGGACTCTGAGAGCGTGGGACACACCATCTTCACTTTTGCGGCCTCAAGGCTAACAGAACGCCAAGCAGACCACAGACACCAAGTAAGCCCACTGCCACAGGGCCGAATGTGACGCACAGTGACCCTCCGTCGATTTCCGAGGCTGTAAATACTTATAGCAGGAGACTCTCATCTTACTCCTAAGGAGTGGCTAGTGGATTCAAACTGCTGGCCTTCTGGTTATCACCTTGACGTGTAACAAGGATGCCACCAGCACTCTGATTCTAGCCCCAAGTCAGATCTGTCTCCACTATCTGACACTTGCAGGAAAAGCAGGAGGAGTAGCCGTTGGTTTGCATCATGGCCTCAATTACACAGGGGACGGATCAGCTGGCACCGTGTGGTGTAGTGGTCATGTGCTCCTCAGCACCCACAAGAAGGTGCACAGACTGGAAACAGGTAAAGGGGAATCTTTTTTTCTTTTCTAGGACTGTAGAACTTCCATATTCACTCTGAGAGGAACAGCAAAGCCCCTAAAAGGCGACAAAGTCCACTTGCTATATGCACCACCATTTAAACCGCTGCTATAAGAAACAGTGGCTCTAGGGTTTGGGTGCAAAGGTAAAGGGGAATCTTAATCTGATCACACACTTTTAAGAACATTTATTGGTAAACATATTGAACATTTCTAAAAATCTGTCCTGTCACCCACCTACTGGCACTAATTCCAACTCCTAGCAGCCCCCCACTGGGGGCTCTCTTATCTTTTTGGGTGGAGACTGCCCACCTTTCTCCCCAGAGTAGTTGGTGGATTTGAACTACCAACCTTTAGGTAAGTAGCCTGATCTATTATACACTATGTTACCAGAACTCTGGTTTGTTGTTGTTTTTTTTTGTGTGTGTGTGTGTGTTTTTTTTAAACACATTTATTTTAATTGTGATTTTAATGAAGGTTTATAGAGAAGTTAGATTTTTATTCATTTATTGTTTCACATTTTACACCCTCTCCCTCCCTCAGTTGACTTTTTTAAAAAAACATTCATTACTGCACAATTACTGAACTACCCCTTCCCACCCCTAGCCCTCTTTGCAATGATGTATCTTTTATTCTGGGCTGTTGCACATATAATGCCTAATCATATATTCCTTTTATACAGTTCTTTATTTCATCTGTTTCAGTGCAATGGTCATTATCTATCCACTCTTATCCTATTCTCCTTCCAACCCTCATGTCAGACCTACTTTATAACAGTGGTGCTATGCAGTATTTGTCCTTTTGTGACTGTTACCAGAGCTCTTCTATAGAGTTGGAGGAATACTGTTGCAATAACCAACTTTAAAAGCAAAACAAAAACCCCAACCCCAGCTCTCTGCCATCAAGCCAGTTTCAGCTCACAGCAACCCTCCCCTGCATTTCTAAGAACGCAGATCTTTTCAGGAAGAGATTACCCATTATTCTCCCTTGGAGCAGCTGGTAGGTTTGAACAAACAACCTGGAGGTGAGTGGCTGATACCCACTACACCACCAGGACTTCTCAATAAACACGTGTTGTCCTTATGTGCCATTGAGTCAGAACCGACTCATAGCTGACCCTCCTGCGGGTTTGCAGAGGCTGAAAACCACATAGGAAGACAATGTTATTATTGTGTGTCGTCGAGTTGGAACCAACTTCTAGTTTACTCTCCAGCAGATTTTCAGAGACCATAAATTGCATGGGAGGAGTCTGCTTATCTTTCTCCCATGAAGCAGATGGTGGACTCAAACCATGTGCCTTTAGGATGGCAGTGCAATTCCTTACCACCAGAGCTTCCTAATAACCAAGTAGCCCAGCAGGTTGAGAGCCACTTCTGACTTGACTTGGCAGAGACTGAAATCTACGACTGTGTACACCAGCAGACAAGTTCAGAAAAAGGCTATATGAACAGAGATGCACCTGTGCAAACACTGAGAGAGAAATGTTTGAGCAGGAATATGTGGCCTGAGTGAGATCAGCAGGCTGCCCTGGAGAGGGAAGTGACCTGGAGTGCAAGCAGTCTCCGCTGGGACCGGATGGGATGCTGTGAACACTGCCACCGTACTTAAGTGACAAAGGTTATTTACTTTAGAGAGACAAGAGTCTCCTTCTTTAAGCCAGACCACTTAGTCCTGCTAACTGTATAGGGCTTTAGCAACAACTGCCACCAGATTTGTGTTAAAAAGCTCCTTCCTGACTATGCTGTAACTGTTGTGGTTGTTGTTAATTGTCGTCGAGTTGCAGACGACTCATAGCGACCCTATGAAGGAGAGTCCTTGATGCTTGGGTGTCTCTCATCCTCTCTCCAGGTTCACAGGATTTCCGGAGGCAGCTATTATAGAAGTGGATGCCACTCCTCTTTCCAAGTGTAAATCTAATTAAGATAAAGTTAATAGTTGATTTAAAAAACCTAAAACCCCCAAAACCTCACTGCTACTGAGTGTATTCCACCTCACAGTAATGCCATGGCCAACGGAGAACTTCTCAACAGCATTTTGAAGGCTGTAAATCTTTACAGATGTGATCGTCTCCTGTATAGCAGATGGTGGGTTCGAACTTTGTGACTAGTAGTTGAGTACTTTAACTCCTATTGCACCAGAGCTCTGGATGTAACTGATGCCACCTAGTATCTCTACAAAATCCTTTCAAAAACAGGGATTTCAGGTTAAAAGTAGGGTTTGATTATTCGAAAGACATCTGTTGCTAGCTAATGCTAACTCACAATGACCCTGTGTGACCGAGCAGACATGCCCCACACAGGTGCTGAAGCTGTGAATTGTAATGGGCAGAGGCTGCCCCTTTTTTTCTCCTGCAGAATGACTGGGGGATTCAAACAGGTGGTGGTGGTGGTGTGCTGCATTGAGTCAGAACCAAACCATGCAGACTCTCCAGCAGGTTTTCAGAGGCTGTAAACTGCATGGGAGGAGATTGCTCATCTTTCTTCCACAGAGCAGCTGGTGGATTTGAACCGCCAGAGAGGCACCGCCTATCAGTGATAAGTCCAACACCCTACATACTACATCACCAGAGTTCCTTATTATATGAAAAAACAAGGTACCCCACTAACTCAGATACCAGTCTCCAGAAAGAATATTTCTGTTTCTATATACAAATAAGATCCTTTTTTCTGCAGCAAATACATCCTTTGTAAAGGAAATGGGTTCACTATTCTTTTTACTTTAATTCTCATATAAAACAAAACAAAATGATACAAAACCATTCCAAACGAAACCAAATAGACTTGAGTAGTTCTACTTTCTTGACTGTAAACTCATGGATGTAGAAAGCCAGGCCTTTCTTCCGAGGACCTGCTGAGTGGGTTCTGACCCTCAGCCTCTAAGTTAGTGCCTCACTGTAAACCAAGTGCATTGCCACCGAGACTTAAATGTGGGAGCTATGGGAGACCAGGCTCAGCATCGTTTGTTACAACATTTCCAGACATTCATTCACATAAATTCTTAGTAAAAGACTGTTTTCTAGAATAATTTTTAACTCGAGTAGTTAAAAAAAAAAGCGGGGGGTGGGTGGGAGAATTGGGATATTAGCTTTATGTGAAGTGGTTTGTACTCTAGTCTGGTCAATAAAGAAGTGTGCTTTACTGAGAATTCCCCAGAAAGCAACAGACCTACTACAAATGAAATATCTTTACTGATCTGCAGCTGGTGCAGTGATACGTTGGGATTAAGGCTCTTCCTACCCACGAGCCTTGACTAAGTTCCCTGTCATAGCTGACTAGGCATACTGAATGCCTGCAAGGAATTTCAGTTGTACCTTATTGGGATTCTGACAGTACTTTGAAGACTTAGGAACAGGAATACTCAG